TCCACGCTGCTGCTTTTTGCTGCTAAGTGATGAGGAGGGCATTTGTCACTTTAGAGATGGTAATGGAAGAGGTGTGTGGGTTTTGTTGGCTATGTGCTCCAGAAGCACAGCACAAGGGAATACAATGCCCTCTGACCTTTAGTAGTTTAACGCTTCTATTTTCCAGCTCCTGTAGTTAGTAAAATGAAATTTAGGTCTTCGTTCCCTTCACAATGAGGATCCAAGCAGTGGTGTGCTTAAGTAGCGTATATTATCTGTCTCCAAGCAGCTGTTTGGTCAGCAGTCAGTGAAGATAGTTTTCAGGGATTTGTGATCAGTGAGGATATAGTGTGTATATATTAATATCAAGCCACATCCCAGTCCAGGCTCATGTGACATCTTTCATGAATGCGGTAGATGTTTACAGGTATGTCTTGCAAGATCCTATCTATGAAAGAATTGGGTGGGAATGTCTTGCCTACCTTAACTAACCTGCCACTTAGCAACTATGTAGTGCCAAGGTCTCTACTAACAACCATCTGTTGTATGAACATGTGCAGTGCCAGGTACACGGGATTTTGTCATGGCAAAAATATACTTTTGCTTTTATTAACTGGTAATTCAAATACTAGTTTTGTTAAATGGAAGAGCTGCAGGAGCCATAATGGTAATTCTGACACTCAATACCAACATGTGACTTATTTAAAATGTAGTTTAAAATAATTCAAAATTTTTTTTTCCCCCCTGGTGAAGTGTATTTTTAGTTTATCAGTAATTTTTGACAGTAATTCTTAATATTTCAGTAAAGTCATATCTAAAACCACAGCTGGATCCACAAATTGATGGAAGCTGTTGGTTGTTACGGCCTTGCCTTGGCTATCATAACTATTACAGCAAGTGTATCTCTCCTGCTTCTACTCTCTGTTCCTTTTTCTGTCTGAATGGCTTAGAATGCATCATTTAAGAAAGTGGTGTTTTTCTCAGTCCAGAAGTGTGTTTTCTAGACTCTGTTATTGTTCAGTTTGTGTGGGGTCTTAAAATTGTATTACACAGTGAACGATACTATGAATTATTGATCTGTGTCATTCTGGACTTGTTAAAGCATTTGTGAAAAAAGTTTTGGAAGTCAGATTTCACAAGTCTTACTTTTCTTACTGAAGTAGAAGTCCAGGGCTAACATGAGGCAGAATGTATAGGATCTTGGTTTCTAGTTATGTATCAGTGCAACAGCCATAGAAGTGCAAGGAGCAAGATGTCACCAGAGCTGGTTTCTACTTCTTAGGATGAGAAACTGAGTAATGCTTGTACTGGGTTTGTGACTTGTCTTGATGCAGAATTAAAGTTTGCATTCATGAGCCTGTTAAAACATTATTTTCTGTTAACATTTCTGGTTACTGCAGAGCTCTCTCATTTCTTGGAAGTGACTTTCTGCCTGCCTGCCTCATTCAGTGGTCTCATTATTCAGTGGATGTCACATCAGAAGTCATATTGGGGGTGACTGTACTGAACAGATACTGAATTAATGATGACATTAACTGAACTGGGCAGAGGGAAAAGGGTTAGGAAAAAATGCTGTCCAGGCATCCTGTAATAAAGGTAGTTTTTGAAAGGGCAAGAATAATTTTTCATCATGTAAGAAAGACTCAGTCATGTTTTTGTAAATCTGAAGCATTTCACAACCACATGTACTGTTTGCTTTCAAATGCTTTGAGATGTTTATTTAGAAAAAAAGAGCCTATAAATTAGGGTAAGGAGGAAACCACAAACCCTGTATTTTATCCTAAGTTATATAGCTGGAAAATTTTTAGGCATTGCGTGTATATAATCCTAAGTGTACACGAATATAAATCACTTAATTGTTTCTTTTCAACTGCTTTGTTGTAAATTTGCTCATAGACTTTTTTCCTCTATATATTGTAGTTATTCTTATCAGAAACGATGCATCCTAAAGAACAGAATTATTTGAGATTACTCTTCCTTTCTTTTGACATTGTATTTGAAAGAGTACATAGATTTTTTTAAAGTATGTTTAAAAAGCAAAGACTATAAATTCACCTTGTCTGTGAGTTACATTGGCATCTAGTACTTTCTACCTAATCATGTACTGCATGTATTAGGTTTTCTTAATCCCCCCCAACATATTTATACATGGTACATAAACCAAGAGGGAGAGGGGAAAAAGCTCACTTTGCTGGAGGAAGCAATATATTAACATTGTTTATGCAGTACTGCTGACAAAAGTGTAATGAAAAGTTTAAAACTTAATTTATGATTATACTAGGCATGGATTATAATAGTGTGTCACAATTTAAAGTAAGTGAAATACATTGGCAGTAGTGCAGTTTCATATAGACCTTTTTTCTGAACACTCCAATTCCTTTTAAATCTATATTAAAATTGTAAAACAGCCTAGGACTGTAATTTGAGGAAGGCTAGTTGGAATCAGCATGTCAGTTCAGACATGAGAGGCAAAGGATCTGGATATCTATGAAGAGCTTGAGAGGAAGCTCTACTCAGTGAGGTGAAGTGTGAAGAACAGATTAGGTTATCTATTATACGGTGCCTTTCAAACCAGTGATGATGGTTGTTTCATTATAATGCTCTTTTCTGTCGCTTTCAGAAAAGATACAGAAGATGATGATGAAGAATCTCCCTTTCTTGAGAATGGGGCCTTTTTCTGCATAGTTCCAACTTATTTGTGGAACTTGTTATCAAAGGTATGGGTTTGTGTGAGGTGTTTCTTTTTCCTTTGTTTTTCTAAATATAAAAGCGAATAACGTCATGCAGGCAAAAGTTAGTCACAGTTATAGAAATATAACCCCGATTTTTATTGTGTGTGTATATATATATATAAGCATTCTTATTGTTTCCTGCAGAATTTTGCTGCTAGTTACTCACACATTGTACTTAGGTCACTCAGAAACAAGTATTTCAGTACTTATAGTCTCTCTCTTTTGTTTGTTGAGCTGTTATTTCCCCTTCTGAGGAAGTGCTGTGAAGTCATGGAATCTCTGCTGCTCTGGTAAGATGGAAACAGATGGATTCCTCAGCGGTCAGCAGTGTTTCTGCCTCTGTTTTTTTTGCCCTCTGTGTTTCTGTCAGTCTGCATGATTTCCCCTTTGTAAATCCACACTGACTACTCCCAGTCACCTTCTTGTCCTTCATGTGTTTGGAAACAGTTTCTGGGATTACTTGTTTCACCTTCCCAGGGATCAGGGTGAGGTTAAGAAGCCTGTAGTTGCCTGGATCCTCCTTCTTGCCCTTGAAGACAGGGTTGACAGTTGCTCCCTTGAGTCCTGTGTGGAGGTTTGAACTCAGGCGGCAGCCAGACGTCAGGTGGCTGGCTTTTCATCTCCCCCTCCCCCCACTGGTAAAATAGGGGAGGGACAAAAGAAGAGAATTCGTGGATTGAATAAAAAGAAGGAATTTACTAAAATAACAAGAGAATAAGAGTACCAATAGTGAATTCAAAAGAAAAGGGGTAAAATGCAACAGTGGCTTACCGAGCTGGGCAACCACCCCCAACAGCAGCAGTACCAACCGATGGGCCAGAGAGCAAGAGGGAGCGAGAGCCACACCCCACCATCACATGGTATGAAATACTCCAGTGAAAATTAACTCAATCCTGGTTGGAACCAGGACACACTGGAACCTCACTCAGCTTAAAACTTTCAAACATAATTGAGAGTGGACTCCCAATGACAGGGCCAGCTCTCTCAGCACTCATGGCGGCATCTCATCAGGTCTCATGGAAGTGTTATGTCCAGTTTGGTTAAAGGTTTCTTAATCTGATCCTCCCTCACTCTGAGTAAATCTGTCTTGCTTCATAGTTTTCCACTGGTCTCAGGGGCCTGGGATTCCAGAAAGACCAAGGTGAAGAAAGTGACCTTTTTGTACCCTTTCACTAGGTACTCTGCCCCATTTAATAGCAGGACCACATTTCTTCTAGCCTTCCAGGCACACTGCTCATGTACAAGATGTTCCTTTTAACCTTCATATCCCTCACTAGATTCAGCTCCAGGTGGACTTCGACTTTTCTGATACCATTCCAGTACACCCAAGTGGTATTTCTGTATTGTGTGTGGCCCCACTTCACCTCTGTTCTGTTGATTAGGAGATCTCCACGACTCTCCACATCATCCCGCATCCTTTGCCTACAAATCCTAACCACCGCTGCTTTGACTGATCATAGGTCAATACCTCCCTCTCTCATCGTTCCTAGTCTAAGCCTTCCCCTAGCAGATTGACTGGCCTGTTGGCAAAGATGCTTTTATCCCATATAGTGTCAGGTGGATCCTGCCCACTCTCCCCAGCAGTTCTTCATCCTCAGAAAAGGTTCTGTGCATGTAAAAGGTGGATACCAGCTTTTGACACGAGCTGCACAACCACTTGCTGGTCTGCAGGATCTGTCTACTCCTCCTCCAAGGCCTTACCCTTCACCATCAGGACAAAAGAGACACCAGCTGGCTACCAACCATTGTCCAACACCCTCTGAGCCATGTAGTCATGCCTGACACACTCCCGGTCTCCCCTGACTACATCCGTGGTGCTCATATGGAAGAGCAGGTGAGGGTAATAGTCTGATGGCCAGACAACTGCCAGGCTCAGGAACAGCCTCTCCGTGGTATCCAGGACCCAAGCCCCTGGCAGGCAGCACGCCTTGCCAGGTGACAGGTTGGGCCAGCAGAGGTGCCTCTATCCCTGCATCAGCAGGGAGTTTCCCACCACTGTGCCTTGCCCCACCCTGCCACAGGACTTGGGCACATCCAGTTCAGAGGCTTCATTGGACAGAGCTCCCTGTCTTTGCCTGCTGACAGGGCTCAGAACCTGCTCTGTAGGTTGGAGCTGCAAGCGGATCAGGAACTGTTCTCCTGGTCCCAAGGCTTACGAGCTCCCTGGCTTCACCAGACTTGGCATCTATTTCCATGCCCAGCTTGACAAGTTAAGGCTGTGTTGGCTTCTCCTCGGTGCAGTGAGGGTTCCTGTAGCTGCAGAGTCTTGGAGGGGATCTGGTCCATCTCTTCAGCATCCATGATGTTGTGCAGTCTGCTCACCTCCTCGCACAGCTTGTCTGCTTGATGAGGCAGATCCTTCATAAGTGCATGTTTAGAAGGATTTAAAGTGTTTTTTAATTCTGTAACTGCTGGTTGCCAAAGCTAACTTAAAACAGAGGCACATTAAGAACTAGCAGATTCAGGAGTATCATCATTTATATGTATAGAGACTGTACATCTCTGTGTAGTATATTAATATCAGGTATACAGCAGACTAGGGTGCATGCATGCTACTTACAGTAAAATTAAAAATGAATAGTAAATATAGGCCTAAGTAGGTTTTTATGATTATCATGAACTTAAAAAGTTTTAAGGGCACAGTAGCTATATTCAGTATGCAACATGGGTTTATAAAACAATTGTTAGCAAATTCGATGCATTTTTCAGTTAAAAATAAGCACTTAATACCCTGCTATACTTGGATGAACACACTTGTACTAGAAGACAGCAAACAAAGGGTTATGATAAATAGTGCATAGGCGGGGTGTGAAAAATGTCAGCTTCTTTGGGTCTGATTTTTATTAGAGATCTAGAAAAAGAAGAAAAGACAAACTTGTGGATAATATTAAGCATAGAAATTGTGAATGCAAGTGAGGATAGACAAACATGAAAAAAGTAATTAAAACCCCTGGATACAGAGATGTCTGACTGACAAAATTTCAGGGCCACAGGTAGAAGCTGAAAGGCATGGAAGGAAATCCATCAGAAAAAGACAAAGTTCTCTGAAGCCCAGAAATCAGGGAATCTAATGGATAGGAGAATAGTTTGGGGTTTGTGTGTGTGTTGCAATATCAAGATACATACATGAAGGCAGATCAAGATACATACATGTTACTGACAAAGTAACAGTAGTAATCCTTCTCTTGAAGGTTCTACTGGACAGAGTTTATGACTTGTTGCTGCAGTGTTATGAAGGTCAGTTTATGAAGCTCTGAAGTTCATACTGTAGGACTTGGCAGGGTTTCTTCAGCCTAAACAAACAAAAAAACCCCAGCACACTGAACTATCAGAATGGAAACCTTGATGTTTTAAGTGTGATTAATAGTAAGAAAACTCACTATTGTGTGGTACCTCTTAATGATCTACATGAAAGATGTTAGGGTAGTGTGGATGTCTCCGCTAGTGATTTTCTATAAATGACACGAAGGTGTTCTGTTAAGCAGGGGAAAATTACAGTTTTCTAGGAAAATGTGTGACTATTTTAACAAACAAGCTTTTAAAAAATAATCTTGAAATATAGTTGGAAGACTGTAATAGATAGGTGGAATGAATCCTTGTATAATGTAAGTAATTCCCTGTATTCCTTCTTGGCTTTGCAACCTTTTTGATGGGAGACTTCTTTAATGTTTATATCCTTTGCTGCTGCCAGCTGTCTGACAGTTGCTTACTTTATCTGTTACTGAAAGTTACTTTTTACTGAGATGTAACTAATTAATTAAATCATATTTCTCTTCCTGTTGCTTGAACGGTGTATGTGAAATGTCTGTGGGTTTTCATTTAATTCCTTAAGTCAGTAGCTGACAGGGTTTTGTTTGGTTTTGTTGTTTTGTTTTGTTTTTTTTCCTATTTGAATGTATATGGAAGTCCGTAGGTTGCATGATACTAGTTAATTTACTCCTTTTTAAAAATTTTATTTATCTCTCTAGGATAATATTTTCTTCCTGGGTCATGACAGATTCTTACCTGTTTGTGTTCAATGGCACGACGAATTCACTTTGTGGTTGACCCTCAGGGTTGGTGCTGCATGGGCCTGATTATCTTTGTCTGGCTGTACAATACAATCTTCATTCCGAAAGTCATCCTTTTTCCTCACTATGAAGAGGGACATATTTCAGTTGTGGCAATTTTGTGTAAGTCAATTTAACTTAGCCCTTCTTTCTGCTAGTAAAATAGTATTTAGACAGTAGTTAACATAGATGAGAAAGGTCAGAAAATAAAGAATAAGATGAAGGATAAAGATAAAGGATAAGAGTACTGGGATGCACCCTACATTTCTGTGTTCTGAGAAGCTGAGACACTTCAAATTCAAACTGCTGACACAATTCATTTCAAAGGTGTTACGGTAAAACTTGTTTGTGTGGAAACGCAAGAAAAGCATTAATATGGCTTTCAGATTCTGTAGCTAGAACTTGTTCAGAGAATTGTGGGTTGTAGTACTGATGATAGACAAACTGAGTTTTGTTAGTTTTGTCATACATCTCTGGATGAGTCAGCTAATATGAGTTATGCTAATAGGTTTTGCTGAGGAAAAGGCTTGACTTAAAATGAACCAACTTTTAAAGTGAGGCTGGGCTATTGGGAATGTCCTTTTACATAGAGGCTTTGAAGTCTAGAATCATTGGTGCTATTTGATAAGACTGGAGGAACTTCTTAAATCCTGTAGTAAGGTCAGTGGCATCCTGCTGGTGTTGTCAAAACAGTGTTCACTACTACTTTTTCCTCTCCCTTTTTAAGACTGGAGAGTAGACTGTATAGTACCAAAAATATATCTGGAATTGAATGAGAAGGCTGAGTAGTTTTCAACTCAGTTCTGGAGCATGTGTATTTTTGATGCAGTGTATAGTAGGTATTTTGTACACCTGAAAAATACTAACAAATGCTTATTTATTTTTTCAGGTTATTACTTCTGCTCCTTGTTTTGTATAGCTTCATTACTAAGAGCCTCAGTAGCTGATCCAGGAAGACTACCTGAAAACCCAAAGATACCAATTACAGGTACATCAAGTTGTTTCTATATAATTGAATAAAAATTATTTCAATGTCCTCAAAATAATTAGGAATCAGTTTGATTTTGTGAGATTTGGTGGAAGACAAGAGCTGTCTCTGCTGAAGCCTATATTGTTAATGAAATTAAAATGGGTATGTCACTGTTTTTAACTTTTATATTTCTAGTGCTTTCCCTTGTGTAGACTCAAAACTTCTTTTTCAAACCCTGTATTCCATCAGAAGTTTAGTTATGTAGGAACTTCTGCTAGGAAATTTTTCTGTGAGAAGAATTAGTTTGCATTCTAGGCTTTCAAATATATTACATATACTTGATAATATTTAATAAGTAATGTTTAGGGATGGTTAATCATAATTCTGCAGCTTTTGTTCTAAGTAACTTTATAAGATACTGGCAGTGGCTGTAGAAGATACTCTTAAGCTGGATTTTACCTTTGCCTTTTTTACACTTTTTTTTTTTTCAGTGACTTATGTTTGTAAGGCTGTTAAACAAACAAATGTGACACTAATTATATTACATTGCTATAGAGCAGCAACTTAATGTGAGAATTCCTTCTGTCCTGGTGAATTTATCCCACAATTCCTATATGGTATCAGATGCTCCAGAAATTGGAGGAAATTTGAAACCTTACTAATAATTAATATGGCTTCATCAATCAAGGACAACAAGAAATGTTTCTATGTTAACAGGAAAAGAAAGACTAGGGAGAGCCTCCATCCCCTGCTAGATGCAGGAGGAAACATGGCAACAAGTGATGAGGAAAAGGCTGAGGTGCTTAATGCCTTCTTTGCCTCAGTCTTTAGTAACAAGACTAGTTGTACTGAGGGAATCCAGCCTCCTCAGCCAGAAGACAGAGACTGGGAGAACGATCCCCCCACAATCCAGGAGGAGACAGTCAGTGACCTGCTGCATCACACAGACACACACCAGTCTATGGGCCCAGACGGGATACACCCAAGGGTGCTGAAGGAGCTGGCTGGGGTGCTCGCCAAGCTGCTTTCCATCATTTACCAGCAGTCCTGGCTGACCGGGGAGGTCCTGACAGACTGGGAATTGGCCAGTGTGACACCCATCTATAAGAAGGGTCGGAAGGATGATCTGGGAAATTACAGGCCTGTCAGCTTGACTTTGGTGCCCAGGAAGCTGATGGAGCAGCTCATCCTGAGTGCCATCACACAACACATGTGGGACAACCAGATGCTCAGGCCCAGTCAGCATGGGTTTGTGAAAGGCAGGTCCTGCTTGACAAACCTCATCTTCTTCTACAACAGGGTGACCTGCTTATTGGGTGAAGGAAAGGCTGTGGATGTTGTCTACTTTGACTTCAGTAAGGTCTTTGACACCGTTTCCCACAGCATTCTCCTTCCTGACAAAACTGGCAGCTGAAGGCTTGGATGGGCACACGCTTTGCTGGGTAAAAAACTGTCTGGATGGCCGGGCCCAAAGAGTTGTGGTGAAAGGAGTTAAATCCAGCTGGTGGCCGGTCACGAGTGGTGTCCCCCAGGGCTCGGTGTTGGGGCCACTCCTGTTTAACATCTTTATTGATGATCTAGACGAGGGTATCGAGTGCACCCTCAGTCAGTTTGCAGATGACCCCAAGTTGGGTGGGAGTGTTGATGTGCTCGAGGGTAGGGAGGCTCTGCAGAGAGACCTGGACAGGCTGGAGCCATGGGCTGAGGCCAACTGGGGGAGTGTCAATAAGGCCAAAGGGACCTGGGGGTGCTGATTGACAGCCCAGTAAACGGGAGCCAGCAGTGTGCCCAGGGGGCCAAGAAGGCCAATGGCATCCTGGCTTGTGTCAGCAATAGCGTGGCCAGCAGGGACACGGAAGGGATCTGACCCCTGTACTGGCACTGGTGAGGCTGCACCTCGATTCCTGTGTTCCGTTTTGGGCTCCTCACTCCGAAAAGATCATTGAATGACTCGAGCGTGTCCAGAGAAGGGCAATGAAGCTGGTGCAGGGTCTGGAGCACAGGTCCTAGGAGGAGCAGCTGAGGGAACTGGGGATGTTTAGTCTGGAGAAGAGGAGGCTGAGGGGAGACCTCATCGCCCTCTACAGCTACCTGAAAGGAGGTTGCAGAGAGCTGGGGATGAGTCTCTTTAATGAAGTATCAAGTGATAGGACAAGAGGTAATGGCCTCAGGTTGCTCCAGGGAAGGTTTAGACTGGATATTAGGAAGCATTTATTTCCAGAAGGGGTCGTTGGGTGTTGGAATGGGCTGCCCAGGGCAGTGGTGGAGTCCCCATCCCTGGGGGTGTTTAAGAGTTGGGCTGACATAGGGCTGAGGGATCTGGTGTAGTTGGGAACAGTCAGTGTTAGGTTAATGGTTGGACTGGGTGATCTTCAAGGTCTTTTCCAACCTGGATGATTCTGTGATTCTCTACAGAGAAAGTTGCTATTTTTATGAACTGTTTGATGCTTTTAAGGTTCTTGTCTAATGCAGAGTTTTACATAACATTTTAGAATGGAGTAGGGGCATTAAACAGCATGAGCTTTGTCACATTAACTGAAAACAGTTTTACTCTACCTGATGTTAGAATCTAGAATGAAGTCTTTGTTCAAGATGATTTAATTAGCCTCAGCACTGTTATTACAGTGTGAACAAATTAGGCAGAAGATAGTAGAAAGGGATGTATCTCCCTGGGACTCATATGTTAAATATTGATCACAGAAAATGTCATGTTAGTGTATTTTCTGCTCCCTTGATACATTAAAATGAAAGGTGGCGCAGACTTGGGGTCTGCAGTCAGAGTTCTTGCTGCAGGAAGAGCAGTGGATTCTGCAACCCAAGCTGAAGAATGAAGACACTCAGTACAGTTACAGACAATTACTTTTATGACTGAATGTTCATTTACCTGCAAAAAACAGGTCCAGTAGAATTTCCCTTTGGGCATAAATGTTCCTTTCTGCTTTAAGGGATCCCTTTGAATAGCTCTCTAACTTCTTCATGCTTCATTCATTTCCTATAGCAATGATACTTCATAGATAATTCTGAAGATGGAACACGTAGGCTTGACTGTGACATTGATACTATGATTTCGTACGTGCTATATCAGGGGTTTTGTATTTTCCAAAGTAGAACTTCAGTTCTCTTGTATTCTCTAGGTTGACAGGAAGACACATTTTTGTCTAGTATAAATTGTATTAAAAAATGAGGTTGGGGTGTTTCTGAACTCTGATAGTAGGTACCCTATTAGGGAGTGACACCTTTGTGACTAGATTTATGGGAACAGATTGTAAATCTGTTTCCATCTGTCATTATTGCAAGTTTAATGGTCTCAGATTCTGGGCTTCTTTACGTCCAGTGTCTGAATCTTATTTTGCAGCAAGAAAGAGAAGGTTAGATCTGCCTGCAGGTGGGTCAGAAGTGCTAAATTTAATGTTATTTTGTTTACATAGGACAGTGCTTTACGATATAAAATTTCAGAATGCCCTACTGTAAAAACTAAGATTTTTTTTTTTTTTTTACCTGGAATGTAAGAAATTTCTCTGTATCAAAAAAAAAGTTCCATTTAGGTAGAAACAATCAGTCAAAGTATTTAAGATTCTCAGTCATGCACCTGTTTTCCTCGAAGACAGAAAATATATGCGTCTGTGAATGGAAGTATTACAGTGTTGGTGCAATTTGTTTCCCATGTGAAGATGAACTTTCTGAATATATCATTTGAATTCTCATTTTCAAAGGCTTCCTCTCATTTGGGTGGTGCAGTTTGGGAGAAAGAATAGTTAAACTGAGTCATAGTGGCTTCTGGCGGTTTGAGCTTCTCAGTATCTCTGGAGATCAGCTTAAAGAACCTAACATTGGGCACCCAAAAATAGTGTATATTTTTAAATACAAGATTATCCTCTATCTGTTCTCTGGTTGTCTTATGTGTAAAATTGCATGTTGTAAGATGCATGTCATGAAATGCTTTGAGATGGAATATGTTCCTGAAGTGTTCCTTATACATTTTATTTTAGTTAATTAACTTTTACAAGTCTGAGAAGCAGTATTTCCTCAGGAGGTTTTGGAATGACAATGAGGTTCTACGATGGTTCTGTCTAGCAAATATGTTTTTTCACAGTAGACATATAAGAAAATAATTGAATTAATGATCTTCCTTGTTTGAGTGACAGCTTTTGTGCTGCAATAATTACTCCTTAGAAATATATAGGAGGAGAGAGAATTTTGGAACAGAAACCTGGCACAGAATGGCAATAATATCTTCCAGTTTAATTAAGGTGACAGTGGGGAAAAAGTTTTTTGTATGCTGCTTACCGTTATCACATTACAGTATGATTTTTTTTCTCTTTGAATCACTAGCATATAGATTTATCATGAGCATGCTGTATGACTTTAAATCCCTCTAAGTATCTTTAAATTTTCACCTAGAACGAGAATATTGGGAATTATGTAACAAATGCAATATGATGAGACCAAAGCGTTCACACCATTGCAGTCGTTGTGGACATTGTGTGAGAAGAATGGATCACCACTGTCCATGGTAAGATCAGGGCATTTGTTCCAATTGTTGTAATGAATCATTTCAAGGTCCATGGTCTTGACTGTTGTTCATTTGTCATATTTCTTTCCCAGTAGTGCTTAATCATTAGACATTTAGAGCAGGGAAAGAACAGCTTTGAGACTTCCTTATGTCTACAAGTAAAATTGACAGAACTGTTGCAGTGTAACATCTTATAATTGTCAAATTGTTATATGCCATATAGTTTTGGAAAATTCACATATTTTGTTTAAAGAATTGGAATTTTTACTCCTAAACTGAGATGCTCTTTATAATAATAATAATAATAATAATAATAATAATAATAATAATAATAGATCATGGCTTCAGTTTTTGGATTTTAGTTTACCAAATGGCTGTGCTGAGTAGAAAATATTACTGACTCATACCATGCTTCACTGTAACCTCTCTGATTTTGTAAGTGAAATTGCTTATTTTAGTGTTCTCTTAACTAGTTCAGTCAAAATGAACTAATTGGCTAAAATTATTTAAACTGATTGTAGAAAATTAAAGTAAACATTTCTGTCAGTAGTTCTGAGGTATCATTTCCACCAAGACTGCAGTGATGAACTGCAGAGGACAGAGTTGACATCAGTATCATACTAAGTTGATTTAGCCATTATTCAAACTACCCATTTTGTCAATCGCTACCTAAGAAAATAGTGTCAGCAATACTGTTTTTGTCATTGTGGCTTAGCTTGGTACTGATGTCTATGCCAATGGTTGTATGAAATTACACCCTGACTGCATTTTTTGCATCAGTGTAACTTCTGTGAAGAGACCAGACCTAGATTTCAAAAGTTTTGAGTATTTTTTCCTCGTGATTCCTTTACTCCTTTATGTTAGAGTATACAGAAGGAGTTTCTGAATAGAGACCTGTTTAGTCTTCTGTGTCTTAGGCTCCTTCCTAAGTCATGCTTATTTGTCATTGGGGTACCCTGTCATCACATTTATTTCAAACCATTCATTTGCATTTCCAGTTTTTGGACTCTACATAGTTCACAATGAGTGAGATGTGTTGAATAGCAGAAGATAATATGTATTGCTGTGAAATTTTGCAGACTTTACAAAAATAATTTTCTTACTTGATTATTCCTTCAAGTTGTAGGAGTATCTTTGCTATATGAAGATACAGAGATATATGTCTCCTAACCAGTGATCTCAGTAAGTCAACCTACACTTTAGGTGGCAGTGTAAGGAAACCACTCTTTACAGTAACTGCTATTTCTAACATGCAGAACATCACTTTGATTAAAATTCGAGTGATTAGTCAGTAGTTCTTCTGTTTGCTCCATAAATAATCATAACTTCTCTTTTTCACAGTATCTTAACTGCAGTGTTAAAGGCTTTGTATTTCTGTCTTTATATATACACTTTGTTTCTCTGCAGGATTAATAATTGTGTTGGTGAAGACAATCATTGGCTGTTTTTACAGCTGTGTTTCTATACTCAGATCCTTAGTTCCTATACACTGATACTTGATTTCTGCCACTACTACTACTTTTTGCCTCTGAAAAAAGAAAACTGGGTAAGAATCTGTTTTCTCTATGAAATGAATAAATAGCTAGTACTGCAATCTAATTTATTTTGGTATCTAGTTACTACAATTCTGCTGGCTCACTTGTTGACAGTAAATCAAATTCAACTAGATGTATGTTATCAAGTGAGCAAACTGATTTATGGTAAGTATCAAAATATAGTTCTAAAAGGGTATATGATTTCTGTGTTAAAAACACAACATTAGAAATCTAGGAAAGGAGGACAGAACCAGTTATGTTCCTTTAGAAATGATTTATGAATACTGGGAAGAAGCAAAGTAACTACTTTAGGTGTATTCAAATTTCTTTTTACTTTCTCCAAAGTAAATTTATGCAGAGCATGTATTCTAAGTCCCTGTTTAAAAATGCTAATACTGCCAGAAAAAATGAGAAAAAAATATATGATCATTCTGAAAGGAGAAAAATGTACATTGGTTTTGAAGCAATACTTTGTGTTGCTTTGAAATGCATGTGGCTTAAGGGAGAATTAAGTTCAGTTTGTTTTACTTGGACTCTATGCCATTATCATATTTCGGCATCTTGGCATCAGCAAAACACAGTTGAACACACAGAGAAAATGGATTTATGGATTGGAATAGAGTAAATAATTAGGAATTTCTTCCATTATGGATCTGAAGTTATAAAGTTTCTGTGTCTGGTGCTCATTTTTGTCTATTATCTGTAATGTTCAGAATATTCAAGAGGTTTGCTTGATAGCTGCTGAATGCTTGAAAGTGCTAGAACGGTAAAGGTGATTTTCTTTTGAGAAAATGTTATGAGAATTTATGCATAAGGAAGCATAAAAACTTCTATCCAAAATCTGAAATGGACTTTGTACAAAACTATAACAAATATAAACACAAGGAGAAAAACCTAGAAAATAATTTTAAAACATACTCAGAATTGGTAAGTGAAGAGACTAAGACCATCCCAGGAGTTGTAGTGTACTTTAAATTTTGTTGAGGTTTTTTCTAAGTACTGAAGTACTGCAGATTTTTTATTCCATGTTGATGGGACACCCCAGCATACTCTCTGATGATGATGTCACACCCATCTTTCAAGGCTGCCGGAGCCTTAGTTATGGGTAAGGCAAGTCTCATTTTTCATTTTGTTGAACAGCTTAAGTTTGTTATATTCTTTTGTATCCTAAATGGTATGAAGTAACAATGCTAAACTTACTGAAAAGTTATATTTCTGGGAAAAAAAAGAATGGGGTATAGCCTTCCAAACTTCTTTCTTGCTCCCATATCAGCCTGCAGTGGATGTGAAGTTTGCAAGAAAGTGTATGTGAAGGTGATGTGTCAAAGTAGAGCTGAAATTGTAGGAAGACTACTTCTTGGATCAACCAGAACTGATAAAAGTGTTATATTCAAGTTGATAGTTGACAACTTTTTATTACATGGAACATGCCAAAGTTGAGGGTTTTTGCAAATCTCTCTTAAAACAACTTCCATTCTAAAGGAATTTAAATTTAAACTTTTTTTCATTTATGTGAATATTTCCATTTGTCATGGTTTAACCCTGGTTGACAACTAAGCACCACACAGCTGCTTGTTCACTTCTCCCTCCTGCTGGTGGGATGGGGAAGGGGATCAGGAAAAAAAAGTAAAATTTATAGTTGAGATAAGACCAGTTAAATAACTAAAATAAAGTAATAATATTTGTAATGAAAATTAATGTAGCAGAAAGAGAAATAAAACCCAAGAAAAGACAAGTGATGCTCAATGCAACTGCTCACCACCCACTGACCAATGCCTGAGCAGCGATCCGCCCCCACCAGCCAACTCCCCCCATTTATGTACTGAGCATGACATCCTATGGTATGGAATAACCCTTTGCCTAGTCTGGGTGACCTGTTCTGGCCATGCTCCCTCCCAGCTTCTTGTGCACCTGCTCACTGGTAGAGCACGGGGAACTGAAAAATCCTTACCTTTGAGTAAGCACTACATCGGTGTGTTATCAATGTTATTCTCACACTAAATCCAGACCGCAGCGCCATACCAGCTACTAGGAAAAAAATTAACTCTGTCCAAGCTGAAACTGTTACTCTAAAAATACAGAAATGAGAAAAATTTGCTGTCTGCTTGGAGCATTCTCCCATAGACACTGCCCTGTAAACTGAGACAGACCTGTTAAATGTGTCTCATGTTTGTCATTTTTTTTTCCCCCAGTTTGTTGCAGATGGTCTTTTCATACTCACTTTATTTTACAGGCATTGTGAGATTTGAGTTATTTTGATTTGTTGTAGGTGCAGTCAAGCTAAAAGATACAAAATTGCAGTCTTTCTGTATTAGTGAAGAAATCTGTCTGAAAAATTTCTTACAGATATGTTACATTTTGGGTTTTTGGAATGTTAATATTTTTGAAAGGTAACTAAGTGTAAATGGCTTTGCTTCTAGTTTCAGTAGCTTTGTAATCTTTTTAATTTATACACTAAGTTAACCTACTACATTTCTTGACAGAGTAATCTTATATTTTCTTTATTCTGAAGGCTTCCCATGCACAGGGTTTGCAGGTTTCAAACACAGAGGCTTCTCAGTGACACTGATCTGAATTCTGAATTGGGTATTGCAGTGCTTCTAAGAAAGAGTGTTACTTTACAAAGTTAAAATCTTTGTATGAATTTGGCGGTGCTTCTCTAACAGTGTAATTTCATGGTAGAATAATTCCTTTTTATTGTCAGAGTCCCCTGAATGCTCAAATTTAAGTAATTACACTGTGTTTAAGTAATGAACCCAAGTTCTGTTTATTAGCCTTGCTTTTTAAACGCAGAATGAAAGGGAACCAAATTATTTGCTTGGAGATGGTCTGTGCAAGGGAGGAAAAGGAAATCATGTTTACTTCAGACAGTTTACAACTTCTAAAGAGGTAATAATAAATAGTTACTAACAGTTCAAAAAATGAACTGTTATATATAAAAACCTCTGTTCTTGATGGTTTAACTGGGTTAATTTCAAGTCTTTTGGAAGAAGACCTGGTTTTAATATCTACCCTTTAGAAGATGGGACAGGTTAGGAGGCAGGATACATAGGCAATCATTGTAACCCATAGTTGCCTGAGGAGTGAGTCAGGTTCCCATGTTTAGCTGCCTAAATTTAGAGTCATGGAAAAAAATGGTGTTTTGTTTTGGTTTAGCTGTGGTGGTTTTGGCTTTATCAATTTGCATATGTGGAGACTTCCTTTTGCAAAAATGTATCTGTGTTACAGTATATAACATTCTATGCCTTAGATAAGTATGTTTAATACCTTATAGAAAAGCTTAGTAGGCACAGCAGATCTGGTCCCTACAGACCTTTGTTAAGTCTATATTACACTGAGTATTATTTAGCTTTCTGAGTTTTTCAGCTGCAGGACTGGGGGGCCACACACAGAAGCGTGGAAATCAATAATAATTTGTTTGGGTGTCTAGTTAGTATATCTGCCTGGAAGATGACATCAGAGCCCCACTGAGCTGATTTTTTGTGTTGCTAAGGATATGATGCCATATAACTTTGTGCCACAGAATAATATGCCAGAATTATGTAATTCTGACATCAAATAAGCAGGACCAGTGAGAAGATTTGCTTAGTATTAGTTAGATTTTTAGGTGAGCATTCTGCAAGATTCTTTCAGTATTTGTATATCAATTAAAGCTGAAATACCATAGCATTCCAGAGACCACAGTACCTTCTACCTTTCAGGGAAGCACTATTCTTTGATGAAATTCTGCTTGTAACCAGGAGCTTACATTTTCAAAATTGACAGGGGCCAGTGCTCAGCACAGATTAAAAAAACTGGGTAATTTTTTCTAAACAACCATCTGGAATTAGCTTATTCCTGCTCATTAAAAATACTTGTGAATTTTTTGGCAGTGTGCCTTCATCTTAATTTTTATTCTTTGGATATATAGCTTCTGTCTTATGTACTATTTTATAACTGAAATTTTTAAAATGTTGTTACGAAGTAATCTTTTTATCACCATGCTCATTTATGCATTATGAAATTTTGATCACTCCATGTACATTGCTATTTCCTTCTGAATGAAAACTTGTGGTTTTATTTTTAAAGAGCTAACTCCAAACATTTTAAATTAAGTATGTTAAGGTAAGGGTGATAGCTTTAAAGCTAATGGAGGTAGCAATTCAATAAAGGTACGATCTTTCTACTGCAGGTCTTATAGCAGAAAATTGCTTCATAGTATTCTTGGCTCCGTAATTTATACACTCTCAGAAAGATGGATTGTGTTATTGCTTCTGTTTGTCCACCAGGAGGAGTACAATTACTGCTAGAAAAGAAGGAAATGCTAATTGTCTATGTGAGATTTTAGAACATGAAAAATATATAATTCAAATAAAGCAGCATATGAGTTCCTCTGCTAGCTTTGATTTTTCAGAGGCTAAGAGTGGGATGTTCTTAATTTTGCATCTTCATTAAAATGCGTCAAGGTCAGGAAGTCTGTATCTTTGAGGAAGTATTCAGTCTGGTGGATAGTGAGATGAGAAGAATAAATACTAGTCTTCTCATGACTACGTAGTTACTCTCTATGTGGCTGTGCTGTCGCAGGTTCTAGACACAGCTGGTCGAGTAGAAGCAAAAATAAATGTTTTAGCAGTATATTCTACCTGATTCATAGCAGGTTTTTAATCTTTTCATCAAAAGAAGTTTTGCTGATACATTGTTTCCTAGAAATGTTGCTAGAATGATTGTCATAGCACAAAACACTGACATATAAAAACCTAAACCCCTTTGCTCTAGTTTAATTTTGTTCCTGGTTCTCCAGTTATCCATTAGTATATGGATATGAAATGACACACAGAATGTGAATTTTTTTTTTAACATGAGTGAATGTTCTCCTGTACCTCTCCTTCTTTCTCTCTGCAAAACCTGCAGTCTCTATTTTTTTGTTTTGCTTTTCTGAATCCAATAGCCTGGCTTTATTCTGTATTCTACACTGGTTTTATGATAGCCAAGTTGATAGACTTACCTCATTACCAGACTGGGACAAACATCC